GGACAAGACGTGGTGTAGTCATTCAATTTGCCATGGTGTTTTCTAGTGAACTGCCTGCGGCTACTGTTGATTTTCGCTTGGCGGCCAGGACTGCGACATCCGTCAGAAATTAATTAATGGCTCGTTCCGAACTCAATGTCCAGGTTTTAGCTTTGTTACATTGATTTGATCCTGTGATGTTAAATCTGTTGTGTATCTAGCGCGTCTTTCAGCCGTGGGGATTGGTCTTCCGGGGAGTAATCTAGGTTAGCGCTGTGAGTGGACTGACCAACGCACTATCTTCCACTGGCGACTATCACGGCTGGTGGAATCGTGCTCTGGGGTGCTGGTCATCCACGGCCTGTTTTTCGCTTGTGTGTTATCTCTGGTGGATGCCCTGATGAGTTACATTAATAAAAATAACTATGATGATGAGACGAGACCAGACCAGACGAGATTTAAGTGAAATAGACGCACAACTGTCTACCTCACTATAAATCCTTACTCGTTTGAACCGGTTACAAGACAAAGTCTAGATAACCGAACGGACACGGTCGTATGCCGCCTTCTCCAATGCAGGCCAGAACACCGTCTAACTTAGTGTTAAGTGACATTAAACTTTGCACGGGTAATACCGCTCTATCTACCCTCACTCACCTTCAGTAGGTGTCAAGACAGACTCAAGGAAACCAAGGCTGGTACTGTTATTGCTATTTCTACTGCTGCTAACTAGGGGTGTAGCTGAGTATTAGTAATACAGACACTATTTCTGACGTTAGTATTTGTCAGAGGTGTCGTTGATTAAAGTCAACGCTAGGGCTCAGAGCACCTCGATCTCAACCAGGGAGGTGTATGTGGGTTTTTCCTATTCCGAGTAAATACATGTTTAATGCCCGGAGCACATCAGGGCTTGCCTTGGTTTTCGCCCTTTCACTTCTGTCCACCGAAAGCTGTGTCACAGTTTACTAAGTTTTGGCTAGGATACTCCTGCTGGGGTAATATTCCACTGCTAAGAGTGCTAATTCTAGTAATCAAACTTAATAAGACTAGTGGATAATAGATTCTAGTAATATATTCCTATACTTGTATCAATAGCTGACGTACATCCTATTTTTGCAACAAGCATAACAGACTGGAATATGAGCTTACACGCGTCCTAACCTTCATGTGGGCTAATTTGTAGGACACCAGGGCAAGTATTCACCTCCGGTAGGTAAATAAGACTGTCCACGAATAACTACAGAGGACAGTGAGCTGGTCAATATCTCACACACAGACTGCAAGGGTACGGGACTGCTCTATTTGGTTATCTTGTGGCGGACGGCCACAATTTCTGTTCCCCCTTCGTTCTCGAAGGCCCGCTGCCCTAAAGCCATGCGTCGTTACAATTAACTGTTCCAATGCTTTCTTTCACTGGCGCCCCCGTTCCCCGAGGCTTGACCTCACACCTGCTTCTGGCTAACTGATAACAGCTGCGCCAGCGTCCCCTGTCCTTCGGAATTCCGGCAGCCCTCACAGTTTACCTCGGCTTATTCAGTCACGTACACACGTGCGCACACACCCGCGCATACACGCGGGCCCAAATAAGCATGCCTGCCTAAGGGCCATTTGAATAA